AGAATTCCCTAGCCGGCCATGCTGGCTGGGGAATTCTGGGAGTTGAAGTCCACACATCTTCAAGTGACCAAGGCTGAGAAACACTGCTCTATAGGATATGGTAAGGTAACATGTCACATAGATGTTGCTGAATTAAAAGTGATAGCGCTTGGTGCTAAAATAGCCTGAACACTTACTTTTGTGGAATGATGTGGACAGGGATCCCATGTTGTCAGATGTGACTTTGGGTTAGTTTGTCCTTCTGTGTTTGCCTTCAGATCAGATGGGGAAAATAATGAGGCAAGAAGTGATTTCTTCCTTTTTGATCGAAGATGCTTTTTCCTCACAGTTGTAGCTGCTATTCTAGAGCAGAGATGTAAGTTAACTTAGTTCTCCAAGCTCCAAATTGATGTCTTCACACTTCCTTTAACTAATCTTAGCTAATAGAATACCTTCTGAAAGATAATAGTTTTATTTTCATACAACACTAACCCAGAGTTTAACCATGTTTCATTGAACAAGCCATAATAGCCTGGCATACTTATTGTACTTACCAGACAATGAATCTCATGAAGGCTTAGTACTATATGTAGATCAGGCCACAGCCACTGAAAGTCTTTGTGGGTGCCACTGCAAATCTGTCATTATCCTTTTATAGGCATTGTGGACTTTTGCATATAACATTTGTCTCTGCAAAAGGCTTGATATGACTCTGAGGAGTTGCATGTAAATCTGTATAGATCTATGAGTGTGGATTTACTAAACTGTTTCAGTTCTGCTTATTGTGGGGGAGGGTTTATTGACTTGCACAAATCTTTTTTCTTCTGATTCAGTTCCTGTGATCACAAGTAACACATTAAATGACAGTTTGAATTCTGAATTCATCAACAAAGTTCTTATAGCTTGATGGCAAGTGAGAAAAATTAGCTTTTGGATTAACTTCTATTAAAGCAATGACTTTGCATCAAAGGCCATGTAGGAGATGTTTCCTTTATGAGACTATTGCTGGAAAATGTTCTTTTAGCTCTCTCTCTGTATCTGTTGTAAAATTTGAAGTGTGCTGAGGCTGGGATGTTAGAGACTCTAGGAAGTCTTGGCATCTCTCTCCAAGAAGAGCATAAATAAAACTGTCATCCCCAATTCTTTTGTCTGCCATCTATTCTGCCATCCACCCTTAAGCACATTTTCTTAAAGGTACTTTTGTTGTTAAATAGGATTATTTTCTCTATATAATTTGTGGGAAATGTCAAACACCCAGACTATGGCAGCATACCAATCTTTATTTTATCTTTATCTAGAAGAAAGTGCCATCATTGGGACTTGCTTTCAAGAAAGTATGGATATGATTGCAACCTAAGCCAGCCACATCATAGTAACTGAAATTTCTGAGTAGACATGTATAGGAATGCGCTCAAAATGTCTTAATTTTTTAAATTAATGGATAACATGGACCACCCATTGAAAGACTAATCCATTGTGAACCAAGGATCTTTTAAGAGCTTTATATGACAAAGAATCTAGATTTCTTTTAATCAGAGGGAAAAGTGTTTCTTCATCATTTGGTAGCTATTTTGATGGACAAGAAGCTGTATGAAAATTAAGGTTCTGAATAAGTCTCTGCTTAAATTTTAAAAAATCTTGAAAAGAATCCTAGAATTCATAGAATTGAGTATCCCTATTAATTAAGCCACCTGAATCATAGGAAGGGACTGACATATATAATGAACAATTGCAGTTGGAACTCTTTGGTAGTAAAGAGAAACATGTGGAAATTTAAAACTGATAGAAAACAATTGAATTGGGATAAGAGAATGTCTGGGTCATTGGGAGAATAGCTTTCTTGGTAAGGTACAGAATTATACATTATTTTAAGATGGTTATAAGGAGGGAATCATTTATATTATGTTTGAAGTAATGACCATGGAACTATCTTCCATAAAGTACTGAGCCTTTTTAAAAAATAGTCACCATGCTATTAGGTCTGGAAGGTTTTCTGGCAGGAGATTTAGATTACTTTTTTATGTCAGTCATTGTCCAAATACAGCTGGATACAATTTAAACTGTGTCCATTAAATGTGCAGCATAAGATGTCTGTGGCTGACTAGGCATTTATGTGTTTATCAAGACTCTGAAGATATTGGTTAAATTCTGCAGTCTTATAAATGTGTATTTGAAAGTAAATCCACTGAATCATACTGTCTGGTAAATGTATGGGGATGCAGTCTTTTAAGTAAGTTAAAGTTTATTCTTCTCTGAAGAGTAATGGCAATGAATCTTTAAAAATTCACAAAGGAAGAGATAGGGCTTTAGTTCTAATGATGCAATACATTTTATAGAGAGAGTCTTCTGCAAAATTAGGGATGCACGTGAAGCAACCAGACCCTCCTCGTGCCATGTTTCATCATTTCCATACAATACTCTACCAGAAGTTGGGTCTGAAATGCACAGACTTGTTTATAGTAAGAGTTACAAACAGTAAAATGGACATAATAACATTAGGTTGCTATGTACAGATTGTCCCATATGTACAACCATTTGTCCTGTTGAAAAATTGCCATACTAGAATTCCAGAAGGAAGCACTTTATATTTGTAGGGCACTGAGATGTACCATTTCCATATGTTTTATGCAGTGTATTGGGATTTTATGCAGGCTTAAGTAGCTATGTAAATAAGCTAGAGCCCTTAAGATCTTTGAGAAGTTCCAATGTGAATCCAATGTGGAAACTGCTAGTTTATAGGAAAAAGAGGGCATAGAGCTTGGAAGTCTGTTTTGCTATGTTTAATGAGTGCATATCAAACAAACAAACAGTAGTTCTGTACTAAATATTTCAGCTGGTACTACTTCTGCTGCAGATGTAATACAACAAAATAAATACATGTTTGGTTATTGTACAAGATATGTATGTAAATTCTTGCATGAAATTATTTCTCTGTATAGGAAGTCTAAACTCTGTATAGGCTAGTTTTAATGAAGACTTCATTAAAACTAGCTATCAAGGCCAAACAAGTTCTCAAATCCTCTTCTGTACAGGCCTGCTTTTAAGAAAACTAACACTTTATTCTGTGAGGATTAGCCTCACCTTTACTTTTGGTTCTGGATTTCTCTAGAACTGAAATCTTCCTTTCTTGCTAAAGCACCTATAATCTAGTGTTCGTGCTATTGGTCAATTTAATGCATTTTGGTGGCAGCCCTTTTGCGTTACAACAGGGCTAGGCAACTTCTGAATGGCTGAGTGTTGTATTTAACATTTTGATGGAAACGAAAGAATGAGGTGGGGTAATGAGGCAAATAAACAGGATTGGTGTTTTTTCTTTCCTGGGTTTGGGAAAGAATTAAAGTCTTTGTCTATTTTTAAAAGTCAAGGAGCACAGTGAAAAAATGGGACTAAGATTAAATAAAAAGAAAAACAAATGACAACAGGTACAAAGACCAGCCTTAGAATTGACAATGAAGATGTCAAAGTAGTGGATAGTTTCTGCCTTTTAGGATCAACCATCAACAGTAAAGGAACAAGCAGTCAAGAAATATGCTGCAGACTAGCACTTGGTAGAACAGCCATGAAGGCCTTGGAAAAGATATTCAGATGCCATGTTGTGTCTATACCTACAAAGATCAGAATAGTGCAAGCCATGGTATTCCCTATGACACTGTATGGAAGTGAAAGTTGAACTTTGAAGAGGCAGGATAGGAAGAGTATTGACACCTTTGAACGTTGGTGTTGGAGAAGACTCCTGAGAATACTGTGGACAGTCAACAAAACAAACAATTGGATTATTGAACAAATCAACCTAGAGTTCTCACTTGAGGTACAAATGGCCAGGTTCAAATTATCCTACACATTATGTGAAGACCTAGCTCTCTGGAGAAGACTGTAATACTGGGAAAGGTAGAAGGAAAGAGTAGAAGAGAACGGACAGCAGCAAGGTAGATGGACTCAATTATAGTGGCACTGAGTGCTCTGTTGGAAGAAAGACCAGGTTAGGGACAGATTGTTATGGAAAAAATCTATGTGTTCACTAAGAGTCGACAATAACTCAATGGCACATATTAAGCCTATTCTGGACTTACAGTACTACTTAATGTTTCTTGCTTCAAAATGGCAGAAAATCACACCAGCAGTCATAAATAGAGGAGTCTCTGGAAGGTAGGGAAAAAAAGTGTCAAGTTCCCACTCCTGAGATGCAACAACAATACTGAGAAGGAACTGAGGCTATGGGATTCCAAACTGTATGAGATAGTGACCTTGAATGCAGCAGTAATATGTCTTATAGATATAAATTAACATTCATGTATCCATGAAGTCACAAGGAATCACAATTTGAAGGAGACTTTATGATAGCTAAAAATTCTATATTCTGTCATTTTTTTTCATATACATACATTCAGCAGCACATATACACCCCGTTTTTGCAGCATTCTGCTTCTGCTCATCAAAGAGAGTGACATCAATTATGTACATCATTATGATATCCCTCTCTTTGGCTCTCCTCTCCTGCTAAATTCCCTCTAGACTTCAAAATAACTTGCAACATCTAAATTGCCTTTATTAAGCTGTGCTTCTTTGCAGTTATGTACATAGTGAATCCCATTTACAAATGTTTTCTAAAAGAAATTAGTAATGATTTTACTAGGGGAGAAATTGGAGGACCTTTTCCCCTTTTTGAGCAATTCTGCCATGGTCACTGACTGTGTTCTGCAGAGATAAGATGCATGGAATGGCTGAGCTGCTGACTTCTTTTTCTTTGCGATGGATTTCTCCTTTGGAAGGAAAAAATATGATTGGTGCTGGGATTTAGTAAACGATAGAGCTGGGAGACTTGCATTGCTAAAACCTTTACAACATAGACCTTTATAAGGAATATATACTTCTGGTGCTAGTTGGCCTCTCCCTTCATGGAGCTGCAGTTGAGAGTATTGTACAGCTGGCTGCCCACTGCCTTGATTCACTTCCTTCCTAGATTTGTATAGTCAATCATATGGCACAATTATGTTGTGCCGTTTTAGGCAATGCCTGTTCTCTAATAAGAAAGAAAAGGAAGGGTTTGCTACACATCAGGCTTTTGTATTCTTCTGTCCGTTTCCTGCTCTCTGTACCTCATGGTTATGTTTCCAGGAAAGGTAAAGATGCCCTCAAGTCAAGCTCAACTCATGGTGATTTTATTCATGCATTTTTCTTAGCAGCGTTACAGAAGTGGTTTGTTATTGCTTTGTTCCAGCCCCTCCAACAGCCCTGGAATTTGAAGGTGGTCCCCCATCTAAGCAATAACTAGGGCCAACCAAGCTTAGCTTCTGAGATCAGCCAAAGCAGTAAAATGAGTCTCAAAACCATGATGTGTTAGTTCTAAATGACATGTCTAATGTCAACACTTAGGCTCCTCCGTTCAATATAATCATGTTATCTGTACTGTAGCTTCTCTCCAACTTGGAGCTTTATTTTCTAGAAATGTTGCTCATCTTCTATTCAATCCATTTCCATTGATTATATTAGAGATGGGGTGAATGCTAGTGGTGCAAAGAACTGGTTTTCTTTATAAGCTGCAAAAGTAGTGAACGCCGTTTCTTCAGTTAGTGAGATAGTTGCTACCTTCTGTGCAGCTGAGCTGACTATTGTCTTCCTCCATTCTATAGATGTATTTACATATTCTTGTAAAGGGTTTCACAGGAAATCTGGCCAACCTACTTCAGTTGGTTCTTTACTAAAGGCTGAGCTGACAGATATTTCTTAAGAATAAACTTTACTTCTGCTTCCTTATACGTGTAGGCCTTTCAAGAAAAAAATGACTGCTAGGCTTAAGCCCAGATTTATATTCTCATTTATGCATTGGATGGTCTTGCATATCAGTATTTCTCAGCTTCTGATTCCTTTGCTGTAAGAATATTAAGACTATAACTACCCCTGTATGCTTTGTGCTGTTATGGAGGTATGGGGTGGAATCTGTGTTTTTCTGCAAAGCATCTGTATAGGTTGATGCTGTCTAGGAGATTGTACTCAAGGCAATAAAAAGGCCTCATTAAGTGGGGAAAAGGTGGTTGCTGGGTAGGTTTGTTTCTTCTTTAGAGAGAATATGAGGAATTGGCAGTACATGTAGAAACTTAAGTACTTTAAATCCCTATAATCCATAATAGCACCCAACCGCAGTTTAGAAGTCAGCAATTAACCTTAATGTCTCTTTATTAGCACTGTAAATTCTATAACGCTACCTTGGTTTAGGCTTAGGCCATATCCTTATTTAATGTTACCAATGAATATTGGTAACCCATAAATCGGTTTCACTTCTTAGGAGTAGGGCTGTGCAACAGTTTGGATTAGATTCCAAAAAGGTGCCCTGAATTGTGTGAATATAGCATCTGTCTGGAACTCTTTCAAGCAGTGGCATCTTTTCCCAGGATCATGTGGCTGCCCTCTGTGGGTGTATCCAGTCCTAGAGACATGGTTTATTCTAAGAATTGCAGTTAGGTGCTATATTTATGCTCCTGTATGGTCCGAAGCACATTTTTAGAATGTGATCTGAAACTCTGCCTAGCCCTACAAAGAAAAATAATACAAGTTCCTGTCCTTTGACACTTGTTCTTATGTAAAGCAAGTTCACTTGTGTATTCAGGACTTGGCACTAACTAGAGTGTAATGTTTACCTGTAGTTGTGATATGGAAGTAAATCCTGGAGATCATATTTCAGTGCATTATGTACTTGGCCAGTGAAGGTTATTTACAGGAAGACAGTCCATGATCTTAATGAAGCTTTTCACAGTTGTACTTTCATCATTTGTGTCTGCAGAGAGCCCTTTGAAAAATTTCTTGATATATATTGCTCAGAAAAACATTGGGGTAGATTTGACCACTAATGAATTGAGTTCTGATGGCAAGCAACAGTTGGTAACAGTAGGATATTTATAAATAGTGTGTGTTCTGGTTCTCTCACTACTTTATTAGTGTTTTATTTCTTCTTTGTCTCATGTAGGTGGAGGTGGGAATCGAAAGGGCAAGAGTAAGAAATGGCGCCAAATGCTACAGTTCCCACACATTAGCCAGTGTGAAGATCTTCGGCACACATTGGGTGAGGAGTAAGATTTTTCCTATTACTTTCTTGACTCTAACTTACTAATGCAAGGATTGCTTAGTTGTAAGTGAAAAAGTTTCTAATGCTTGGAACAAGATCATGTTCATTCATCCTCCTGTAAGCTGTGTTCATTCATATGTTTGCATGACTATGTTGGATTTCATAGTGGTGCCACTATAATTAAAAATATTTCTGTCATGAAATTATTGCCTGTCTTGCCTTGTGCTATATCATCTCATTGTGACCTGCTAATAGTCTTGTGAAGGGACATTACTGAGTAGCAGTAATACTTTACTTTATAGCAGGGAATTGCCAAACAAAATCTTTCAAGGAGTATCCTGGTGTATTCTGGCAGGTATCCAGATGTTAGTCCTCTTGTTTTGTCCAGAACACTAAGTCTAGAATACTATAAACTGCTTCTAGAAAAATCTCTAGACTACCCCTAGTATGGCTCAGTCACCATGGTCCAGAGAGGAAATGGAACATTCCAGAGTTCTGCTTAATGTTCTGTTCCTGAAATGGTACGTTTTGCACATCTGTACTTTACAGTGTGATGAATTCAGGGACAATCTCAAGTAGGAAGGCTAGAAAAAACCTCTGCTTGAATTCTTTGTGAGCAACTGCCATTCAGAGTAGGTTCACACATGTAGGTTTAGTAGGTTACTAAAAGGGTCAGTGATCGAAGCTTCAGAGTCACACACCACAGTCTTCAAAAGTTCCAAGATGTACACATCTGTAACACATTAAACATAAATAATATTCTAAGCTTTTATAGCAAATTAAAATAAAGACCATGTGAGAATCTATGCTAGTAGAAAGTTTTGAAGTTTGATAAATCTGGAGGAAGTGGATTATCTTTTCAGACATGCAACACTGGAAACAGCATTGATTGTGCTTGTTGACACCTCTGGTGGGACTAAAATGAGGGTGATACAACTCTCCCGGGGTTTATCTCAGCAGCTTTCAGTGCAAATGCTATCAATCATGGTAACGTTTTAGACTGGCTTCAGGGATTGGGAGGAGCATTGCATTGCAGTGGTTCTCCTTCCTCTGTGGTCAATTCCAGGCAACATTGGTGGGGGGAGAGATTGCGTCAGAGTCCCTTGCTTTCTGGGGTTCCTCAGCATTTTCTTCACTCCTGTTTGACATCCACATGAGGTTGATCTGACAGCATGGGGTCAATATGCTGATGATACCCAGTTGTGCCTCTTGGCCTATCTAGCCGACCAAGCACTTGCTGAAGTCTGTCTCAGTGCTGGAGAGGCTCTTAGGGTCTGGATGGTGAGGAGCAGGCTTAGGCTTAAGCCTGTGCTGTTCTTTAGGACAACTTTAAAAACCTAGTAGCCATAGAAGGGTGTTCATTTCCCACTTCACTAGGCTATGAGGTGGGCATCTCTGAGATGGCGGGTATATAAATTTGATAAATAAATATTTTTTTATTCAAAAATTACTGCTATTTTTTTTTTTAAAGGAACTCTTTTACGTAAGACTTGAATTTTTTGTCTTCCTATGTTTGATGGAGATTTGGCTGTTTAGTGTGTGCCCCATACTATTTTGATATTTTTGCAGTACTACAACTGCATTAAGGAAGATCAAGGGGGCTGGCAGTTTAGATGAATGCCGATCCACAATTGTTGGCTTGGATTTTTCCCCTCTGGCATACATGGAGGGTTACTGGGAGAGGGCAGCAGGAATTTTTTTGCGCAGAGTAGCAAAAAAGGAAATAAATAATGGGAGTCCGTTTCATTGCTCAGAAAGGAATGTTATTACTTGTTTGAAAACTGCAATGGAAACTGGGATCCGGTTAGTGTTGGGGGTTCTGCTTGCCCAGAATCTGAGAACATTCTTCCTGAAAATTGGATTCATGGTTGCCTGTACATGAGGCTTTTTTGAACCTTAAGTAAGGAACGTGAAAGAAGTGGCATCAGTTGATAATTTTACATTGATATAATTAGGCTTTGGCATAAAAGAGTTACTTAGCTGAAGACAAGAAGTTTATCCCCAAACTTGTTTTTTTCATACACTTAATCATGGTGAGTCCTGTTTGGAAGGCTGATGCCCTGAGTGTTTGATTCTAAATGATGAGGGATACATATTGAGTTGGACTGTTGTCCATCAAACTTTGCAGTGACTCTTTGGAGCTCGAGTTGGTGGTCTTTCCTTGCCCTACATGAAGACATGAAGGACTGAATGTGGGACTTACTGAATACAGTACATATCTTAAGTTATTTCACTGACCCATTAAGTCCAGTTTCTCTTCTGTTCCTGCATAAACATTTTTTTTCCTGTTGATCCCAACTGTGTATTGAATTAGGGCTTCCTTGTGCTGTCCACAGTAATGCTCAGGCTTTTTCCTTGAGTGGTTTCACTTAATTATTCCTTCTGATGCATTATCTTGTATTTGATGGAAGAGGAAAATTCAGCTTTGGGTCTTTGCCAATATTTCAGTGCTGACCCTAAAAACTTGGAGATTTTCTGCATAGCCTAGCTATTTGTCCGCTTGGAAATTATAGCATTGGCCTGAGTTAATTTGGAAAGTACACTTTTCTCTCCCCTATCTTGAAATTGGAGTAATCCCAATATCTAGCCGTCTTATAAAGGGGCTCTTTCCTTTCCAACTGTTTATAATGCACGGTTTGCAGCATACCAAAAAATGTTGTTGCCACAGTGAATGCTACTGTAGATAGAGATAATACACATTAAAACATCGATGTCCAGGACTCTAAAGATTGTGGCTGGGCAGAGAATAATATGTAGGTTTTCAAAACTGTGCAGTTGTATCATATAATGTACAAAGTTGCCCAAGGGGGATGCTTTCTTTTGTGAAATTAGCAATCTGTGGATGATGGATTAGAGAAAAGCATGAAATTTCCCATCTCATGGGAAATCCATTTTTTAACTATAATGTATTAATTTCCCTCAATTCCATTATGGAGCCCTTGGGTGAGATCAATCTAATATGGAGCTTCTGGCTAGCTCGTAACTCTTGCCTGTGTTTGGCTTGACCAAGTTCTTGAGCACTGAAGAATAATCTTGCCAGGCTCTGAACCCTTCACCTTCCTTCATTCAATGTGCTCATTTCCTATCAGAGGAAGAAATGGTTCAGCTTGCATGTGGCTCCTCCCTCTCATGTTTCTGGAGTTGGTGTTGTTCTTCACAGATCAGGAAACCACAGCTTCCTCAGAAAAGCTGCTGCACAGAGAAGGAGAGTCTTACAACATGTGCCAAGAGAGGGTTGGGGCAGGGTGATTTATAGGCAAGAGGTTTCCTGAGAAATTTTGATTAGTCCTGATTCCAACAATGCGGCAGGACAATGAAACACCAGCATGAATTTTTGGGATATGTGGAAAACAAACAAAACCACTATCAGTCTTTTTGATCAATACTGACTTGCAAAAATGTTAAACATTGTTTTACTGGACACAAAACCATCTACCTGCCTTTAATTCAGTTTCTACTGAGATGCAATTGCTCTTTCTCTCTCAAAAGCCCGGCTTAGAACTGTATACGGAAATGAGGCCCACTGCATAGCTGTATTAGCATGTACTGTATCCAAGAACAAATGGCTCTGAGGTTTAGGGTTAAATATAAAGTCTAACTATTGACGAAATGGAGGTAGTACTGGAGGAATAAACTCTTTAGACCGAATTTTATACTGACCTTTGGGGGAGAGAAAGAAAGTGATACAAAATAAAATAAAAGATTACTGATAATGATAGAGATGACGTGAAGATTATAGATCAGTTAGAAGATGAATCCACTGGTGTAAAATACACATAAGATGTTTGACATATTCAAATTTGACTCTGTGGTGATTTGAGTCTCTGGGATATCTGTGGAGTAGCCAGTGTGTAGTGATAATTAAGGTGTTGGTCTAGGACCAGGGAGATCCAAATTCAAGTCTACACTCAACCATGGAGGCTCACTGAATGACTTTGAGCCACTCACTCTCTCTCAGTCCAACCTACCTCACAAGTTATTGTTATTGGGGAAAGAAGTGCTATGTACTCCACTTTGAGCTCCCAGAGGAAAGGCAGGAAATAATTCCAACATATAAATCAATGAAGTTGAAGCTTCTCAAGAATGTAAGTGCGTAGGGTTGGAATGGTGGCCAATTTTCTCATTGTCCATATGTTTCAGCCCAGTACAACTGATCTAGCAGGCATTCTGACTGGCAAGAAATCTGGATATCTTCATAGGGATTATTAGCTATTGTAGTCAGTCCCTGGATTACTTGAAATCTGTTTCTCAACACCATTAAGTTTTGTGCATCAGTAATTAATTATCAAGCTATATGGTGGGATAAACACCTGCAAGACTTAGGTATTACACCTTCTAAGAAGGTGTATACCTGTATTACTCTCCACCCAGTGTCACAGTAATGATCTTCCTTTTCTCACCTGATATGGGCAAGTCATTATGTCATCTCTTAGTTAAACCTGACGCAGCAGAGCCCTAGCTGAAAAGCTATCTTGTTGCCTCTTGATAGAACTCACTCCTATATGCTTGCCTCCTTCCAGTTGAGCTGACATGCCTAGAGCAGAAACAAAGGCCTTGAGAGAACAATTTAATAAAAGGCTGAATGTTTATTTTTCTCTCCCTCTCTGTTCTCTTGGATCATGGCAAAGATCGGAACGAGGTTTATCTTTGGAATTAACAGAGAGAGAACTTTAACTTCTTGGGTGTAAAAATCAAGGGCAGAAAAATAATTAATGAAAAGTATGGTGGCTTAAATTTTGGCAAGCAGTTGAGGGAGGTAGACCTCTCATCTTTGCTTCTGCAGCGAAGAAACAAAAGGGGAACTGCAAAAGTCACGAACAGAAATAAGGTTGTGGTCTGAGAAAGAGCCGTCTTTCTCTCTCTAGCTGAGAATAGTCACCTGGAAGTTAAAACAAAATACCAAAACTTCTCTGGGAGCAATTAATTGAGCTGATTTTCTCTCAAGGAAACCCTGCTTGAAATTTTGTTGGACAAAGAATATGTCATACAGTTGCAGAGAGATTATTTGGATCCAATAGGAAATGCCAGATTCCTTACTTGGAGACTGTTCATTGTGAAAAAAACAGCTTTTTCAGGCCAATTAAGGATTTTGGTTTTATTTCTGAACTTAATGATTTAGATGTAATATATGATGCCACCGCACAGCCTTCTCAAAGTGGCGCCTGCCCCCCAGATGTATTCGGACTGCAGCTTTCAGAATTCTCAGTCAGCAAGTCGGTGTGTTGAAAAGTGGCTTTAAGTGCTGTCTCTTGAATCCTCCTTGATTGTGATATGGCTTCAAGTGTTTTCATAATGAGACCATGTTTGTTTCGCTTCCAGAGCGGGACTACCACAGTTTGTGTGATAAACAGCCAATTGGACGTCTGCTTTTCCGGCAGTTTTGTGACACACGACTGGAACTTATGCGCTGTGTCAAGTTCCTGGATGCTGTGGTAAGCACAACTAGATATGAACACCTGCTGGGGATGGGGGCACTAATGGCACATTTTTGCATCTGGGGATCCTACAGTGCATCCCTTTCAAAACTGAGGGCATAGCCCTGGTGCTACTTCCTTGTTTCTGTCTCCTTAGAGCAGAGTCTAGCGTTATCCCTGAAATGTACTGAAATAGTGAATTCTACTCAAGAGATACTGGAGTACATAAAGAATATTCTGTCATTTCCCTGATCTGTCTCACTGTACACAGAATGGCTGCTTTGGATCTTGTCAGATGGGTTTTTGTTCCTAGCAGAGATCTGTAGAGTAACTTGGTGTCGCTTGCTCTCATTGCAGGCTGAGTACGAAGTGACCCCAGATGAGAAACGGAAGGAGTGTGGGAAGCGCCTGATTGAAGCATATTTGAACCCTAAGGTGAGAGGCTCCTCGGGTTGCAGCAGCCTAGCAAAGGAGCCAAGTGGTTCATTGTGAGTTACTCTAATAGTGAGCTGGGCTTTGGGAAGAGCAGTTGCTTTAGTGAGAACTGTACTTGTCTTTTTTTTCAGGGGCATTGTGGTGTGTGTGTGTGTGTGTGTGTGTGTGTGTGTCAAAAAGTCAGGATGGTCACAACTCGGCAATCATGATGATGGTTGTGATGATTATGGTGATGATGATACAGGTGCCCATTTCAGCCCTTTCTCATTCGGTGCCAGGTCCTTGTAGAATAAGAATAAGAATAAGCTGAATCAGTATCATTCACTGCCTTCCCAAAGTTCCCATCCTACAACAAACTTTTTAAATGTCAAGCAGTGCAAGGAGACATACTAAGAGGCCGCAGCAATTTCTTCCTGTTCATTTCTGCTGCTATCCTATCCCCATCCCGCCAGTCCCATGATAATTCTGCTGAGGACTGGTGCTTTGGGAGGGGAATCTGGCTAAGTTCTACTATACCAGCTGGTGCTACTTGCAGAATTGTGAATCTTCATTTGACACTGACCCTTTGCCCTCAGAGTGTTGACCACGTCTCTGAAGTGCCCTTGGAGCTAGTAAATCTGTGTTCTGAGCGACTGGAACAGGAACCAAGTAAAGAACTCTTTAAGGAATCTACCAAGTGAGTGGGGGGAGTGGGTAGAATTTGCTTAAGGTTGTGTACATTTCCCTGGAGAACGACTGGTCACTCATCAAGGTCTAAGTTTGATCTTCACCAAGTGCATGTAGGATTTGTCATTGATAAATTTTGGAATTTGTTGTATAGGTATTATTCATTTCCCTGTCATAGAAGAGTTATTAGGCATCATAAAGCAGAATGTCTTGGTGCACATCTTCTTAATAAATATTATTTAGATTATTAGCAGAGCTGCTGAACTTTTGATAGCTGGTGGAAAAGCAGAAATCCTAACTTCATGTTTCAGAACCAGACATTTTCTTCTGAATTGTATTCTGCTTTCTTGTAAAACAGTGTACCTTCATTAGATATCTGAAGGTATGGTGCATCAAACTAAGGTGGTCTGCAACCTCTTTAGTATCCATATTAGAGATTTCTTAGACCCACGTGTACATTGATTATATTGATTTCAGTGGAAGAGAGGCAAAGCATACAGAAATAAGGAAGATCTACATCTTATATTATCTGGAAACAAGTACAGGCCCAGACTTGTCTAGCAAAGATGTTCTGGGTGTATGTAGATGACATTGCCCTGGTAATTTTTCCTTAAGGATAGTAGTTGTACTTGAAGCTACTATGGTATTAAAAGACAACTTCTTCAAACCAAGCAATGCCTGGAGTATCTTCCTTTGGTGATCTTCTTGCTGTACTGGCCAACCTAACTGGTCCTGCTACTGCAGCTGTGGAAAAAGTTCTATCAAATTGGTAATGAATCATTGGACTCCTGCTCTTTCTAGAAGACATTATAAATGGGAATCACCTTCATAGTGCTATCCAGGTTGGGTATTATGTATTTGGCTTTCCTACAGGGCAGCGTCTTTGGAATTGCCTTGGCTGCACAAATTAGGGATTTTCCAAATTCCTTGAGGGGTTTCCAGCTGGTGTCCAGTCAGTTATTTGAACAAAGAAGCCTCAGGCTCATTCATCATCTTTATTTTTCTGTGTGGGATGACCTCAGTATCCCTAAGAGGATCTGGTTCCTTTTCTAGGCTCATCCATGACTACCTTAGTGTGACACCTTTTGCTGATTATCTTGACAGCGTTTATTTCAACCGCTTCCTGCAGTGGAAATATCTGGAAAGGTAAATTCTATTTTGTGATGGACTCAGTGATACTTGTGATCCAACTTCTTTGGACATAGTGTTTATATATGATTTAAAGAGCCTATTTCTTACCCTTAACAATCGTGCTGACTGTTGAGTGGGAGGGGCAGTCTTGGTCACATAGTGAAAACATCAGGGTTTTTCCTTGCTAGCCTGCTAGAAACTGATTCCTCCTTTATTCTGGTTCATCGGGCTTATGTATAAAATTTTGCTTGTATAAAGTGTTGATCAAAGGAGAATAGAACTAACGCTTCACCTTTTTGATGGACAACTTACCATTTATTCTGATTCCCTCTATTTTTCTCTTAGGCGACATGTAACCAAGAACACTTTCCGTCAATATCGTGTGCTAGGGAAGGGAGGCTTTGGAGAGGTACGTAATTTGACCAACCCTGAGGAGGTGGCTCCCCAGCCTGTTTTTAGGAACCTACTATATGGAATATTTTTCTGTTTCAGAATAAGAACTCCACAAGAATGATCTTGATTATTTGAGATGCTAATGATCAGAAGTACCTTTTTGAATAGCATGATTGTTATGCTAAGCATTTAAAACCCTTTCTTGCTGCTTCCTACATTTGTTGCCAAATACTTTACAATCAAGGAAATACTAATGACTGCAAAACATGAAAGGATTCAGCAAGAATGAGATCTTAACCCATTCATTTAGGTTTGATTCTGAGCTCCAGGACTGTCATATTATTCCCAGCAGGAGGACTATGAACCCATTTTTGTAGTAAAAGCCAAGGCTTTTGTGATGGATTCAATAAACCATTTAATCTCTAAGATACCACAGCATTTTTGCTTAAAGATACCAAAGTAATGACTTCAGAATCCAATAAACCACTTAACTGATAAAGTTGATAAAATCCTGTGAACTGCCAAAACCATCACACTTAATTTCTTCCCTTCAAGGTTTGTGCTTGCCAGGTGCGGGCCACTGGAAAGATGTATGCCTGCAAGAAGCTTGAGAAAAAGCGGATAAAAAAGCGGAAAGGGGAAGCCATGGCCTTAAATGAGAAGCAGATACTGGAGAAAGTGAACAGTAGGTTTGTAGTAAGTACATAGGAACTGCTTTACTTCTGCCCTGGGCTTAAGAGAGGGTTGGTTATGCTCCTGGCTCTTGCTTGCTGCCCAGTCTCTGATCCATGATGGACGAGGCTAGAGTAAGTGGGATTTTCTTAGCCGGGTGGCAAGAGGGTGTTGGACTTTCCCCTCCTGGCCTATAAACCTAGAGAGCTTAACATATAGCTAGTGCAGGACTATTGGCCTCTCTCAGACATTGGTTTATATGGGATCTTGAACTGCCAGTAAATGCTTTGCAGAAAGTCTGGAAGATAATGGGCAATATTACATATAGCACTGTTCCTTCTTCCATACGTCTAAGCCTTACATACATACACACCCATCATGCTATACCCTTTTTGGGTAGGAAACATTATGCAGATCACAGAAAAGGAGTTAGAAGAAATAAGTCAGAGCAGTTAGGACATGAGGTGAGGAAGGGAAAAGGATATAGAGCTAAATCTAGATCAGGCCAACATATTCAGTGTACCTTGGTATACTTGTTGAAAACTGCGTCCATGCACTGCTTCGTACACTGCTTTTCTTCTTTAAGCTCTCTCTTACTGAGGATCTTACCAACTCCATCTAACCATGACTTCTTCAGTCTTCCTCTTGAACCATTCACTCTTCCTTCAAATCCTATTTGGCGCTTGCGTTTGACAAATGATGGCAAAACACTTCCATGGCTTTAGTCCCAGTGTCAGTATGCAGCGTCTGAAACTTAGGGCCACATGGGTAGAGTTATCTGCATGGGTCCTGTCCTTCCCAGCTGATTCTAAGTCAGGCCATATTTGATGGGAGGAGCTACAACTGGCCTTGCCTGCAATCTGCTGGACTTTCAAACATTATTACTAAGCTTTTACTGAAACCAGTTCTGAAAGGATCCCAAAGGGGATGCACTGAGATAACTGAGCTCCCTTACCTAGTTGCATTTGTCTCTGTTTCACTGAAGAGAAACCAATTAAAAAGTGTCTTCTTGCAGTGACCTCCTTCTATTTGGCATATTCACTACTCCTGCTATTTCCTCCATCGCTTTTAACTCCTCTCCACCACTTAACTTTACATTAAACTTTATAGCATACAGTTAACTATTAACTACCATTAATGACTGCTTGAGTAACATCTTGTTTCAAGAGCTTTTTCTATCTCCGTATATCTGGTGTTTGTAAAGGTAAACAATCAGCAGAGTTCTGCATATTTGTATATGGGTGATGGGCTTCCTGAAGCTATTTTAGGTTTGTTTTAGTCCTGAAGTGACCTGATTGCATTGTAGGTGAGTTTGGCCTACGCCTATGAAACAAAAGATGCATTGTGCTTGGTCCTGACTCTCATGAATGGTGGAGACCTGAAGTTCCACATCTACCACATGGGAGAAGCAGGATTTGAAGAGCCACGAGCTGTTTTCTATGCAGCTGAAATCTGTTGTGGCTTGGAAGACCTCCACCAAGAGAGGATAGTCTACAGGTGAGAATGCAGTCTTCTTCTGGGCATAGCTGGAATTCAGTTGGGGACTATCTCAGTAAGGATTGTGCAATACATTGAGTGCTGTTACTGTAAAATAAAAATTATTGTTCAGAAGCTGGTCAGATATATTTCCCTTTGAAGGAAGTGAAAATATGTGTTGGTAAAGGCCTGGGGACTAGTCCTGCCTGACAAATATTCCCTTTATGCAAGATACAGATTAATGTGTTGTGTGAACATCTCAATGAAGTTATTCTTACAAATCTGTCTTTCTCTTCAGGGACTTGAAGCCAGAGAATATTCTACTGGATGACCATGGTGAGTAAATGTTTTTTACAGACCGATTGGTCCCCTCCACGGGTAAGTTGATGCCACTCCCCTTTTATAACCAGTAAGGGAAATCTGTAAATGAGACACTCTCATGATTCATTTTTCTTTAACAAGGTCACATCCGCATTTCTGACCTGGGGCTAGCTGTTCATGTTCCAGAAGGACAGACAATAAAAGGTCGGGTTGGAACTGTTGGCTATATGGGTGAGTATCCAAGGTGCTCTGGAGTGTTGATTGGAACACATGGAAGTCATGAAGCACATCAGAGCAAGGGCAGAATATTTTGTCATAACTTACAAGGCAAAACAGGTGAATGTCATTCTAAAGGGCATCTGAGCTTAAGTTTGAGTAACTGGTAGAAAATGAACACATATGCTAGATCTCCAGGGCAGAATAAGGAAATGCATTTGTCGCTTCATTTGCTTCTATTTTGACAATAACTTGCTTGATCCAAATATTTTCCCTTCTGGGTTACCTTTGGACTCCCAGTATTGTTTGTTTTGTGGAGCCAACAGAAATATTATGTGCCTGTAAAACAAATAAATCCCTAATGTTTCTGCAGATCTGTAAGTAGACCTGCTACCTGTTGAAGAAGCTGAGGCAGCTGCTAGGAGGGTGCTTTCAGGTTACCCAGAGAGAAACTTGCATTTCAAACTTTAGATTGTGGAGGATTTTTTTAATATTTAGCTGCAGGATCATGTAGAAGTGTAGCATTCCTTTCCTGAAACATCCGTGTAAAAAACCAGGTGCACTGAATTAGATGGAATTAACTCAAACAAGCAGAATTCCATTTGCTGTCAACTACTGTTTACACATTCTATGTCCCAAACCATCCAGGGGTGACAGATTGGAAATATAATTGCAGTAGGAATAAAATATTCAGATAATACAAATTGGCTTGCATTCACCTTCTGAATGTTTTGGTAGACATTCCTAACAGATGGATTACCTTGTACTGTTTAGATGGAGGAGAAGGAATCAACAGTAAAGGTTGGAGCCTACAATTACAATAGTATACAGAAAGAGATGGCTCCCTCTTACATCTTGTGTTACATCTCTGAATCCCAAGTAGGGGGAAATAGAAAATACATCCTTTACTTCTTTCTGCTTCTTCTTTGAAAGGATCCATCTTCCACCACCCCCACTCACAGTAAATATGAAGCTGGGAAAACATAGTACTTTTGACCATAGTGCTTTGGATTCATTGATCCTAGGAAGTTGTCTTATATTAAACTGGACTGCTGGTCTGTTTAATTCAGTGTTCTCTATGTTGACTAGCAGTGGATCTTCAAGATTTCAGGCTTTTCAAGACCTATCTAGTACCAAAACTGGGTTATTTGCATGCAAAGCACATATAGTGAGCTATAAAATTTTCCTTAATGTCAGATCCCATATATATAAAGATTATGTAAAGATCTTGCTCAAATGGTTCTTTTTGCAGCTCCTGAAGTCGTGAAGAATGAACGGTACACATTCAGCCCAGACTGGTGGGCCTTAGGGTGCCTACTTTATGAGATGATTGAGGGCCAGTCTCCATTCCAGCAGCGCAGGAAGAAGATCAAACGTGAGGAAGTGGAACGTCTGGTGAAGGAAGTCCAGGAGGAGTATTCTGAGAAGTTCTCACCTGCCTCCCGCTCACTGTGTTCCATGGTACGTGTGCTGCCTCTTTGACCATCAGGCAATTATAATTTGCAGTAAAAAGTCTTCAAAGGTCATTGGTGCTTGGTGGAAACTATAATATAATTAAAACTGAGTTTGCTCTGCTGGCTTACTGCAGAATGAGTTCAGCCAGAAAAAAAATCAAAGGTTTTTATTATGTGTGTTAAGTTGTTAAAAAACAAAAACAAAACTACTTTTAATGTAGTTTGGTAGCCAAGACCATCTGTTCATCATCAGCACTCAAGGTCTTGGCTTTTACAACATACTCAGCCATGGATTATTGATTAGCTAAATTCTAAGCCATAAAAGATGGTTTACAGATCACAGTGGCTGTGTATCACCAGCATAAGTCAAAGCAAAACAAACCATATTATATATTAAAGCTATATGTAAACTTGCCTGTAATGATCTGCCATCCTCCTCACAAATCTTTTGCCTAGTATATCTGTATTAAGTCCAGTATGTAACACAGTCTCTCTGCAATTGTGCTGTATACCTCAACATATCTATGTACAAACTAATCCTAGGACATCTACCTGAGAGAAAGCAGTTAAATCATACTTTAAATCCTTTGTTTCTTTATATAAACTTGTATGGACATTTATTTTGAAACTTTTCTTTGTTTAGGAAGCATCTTGATTTCCAGATTAACTAGTAAATAAATAGCCATCATTTCAAGTATCCTTTCTGCACATTTTTTACTAAAGAGAGGGAGGATTGGAAGAAGGAAGGACAGACTGTGAAATCAAGTTCCCACTGTGTGTCTCAGTTTCTCTCACTAGCATGCACATCTATCTCAAACCATAGGAAAAATGAACAGGCTGCTTATGTATCAGAAACCCACATATCCCTCAACATGATGATTATTTGTACACCACAATATGTGTGAAATTAGGGACACCTTTCTGAGCCAGATTCATTAGATATCCCAAGAAGTGGTCTTAATGTTGTCTCTGAACTGTAACTATAGTGTATGAGGAAGCTTGGAAAGGCTGGTAACTATTGAATAGTGAGGCATAAATGTTAGAAAAAATTCTATGCAGGTACTCCTCATTTAGTGACTGTTCGCAGTTAGACAGTGATGAAAAAGTAACTTTGCAACCAGTCCTCAAATTTATGACCTTTGCAGGTCTGTAAAACAAAGAAAAGCTGAAGTAAGATTGTAAGCACAGCCATGGTTTCACTCAGCGACTGCTTTGCTTAACAACTGAGTCGCCCATCCCAGTTGTGGTTGCTGAATGAGGACCACCTGTATAAACTTCAATTTATAATCCATGAATAAGCCTAAAAGACTAGGCAAATAAAGCAGCCAAAAAGATTCACGTTTACCACCTGAGGATGATACATCAACTATGCCTGTCCCAGGCAGGTAGAGTTTGGTCACCATGATTCATGCATTTGGTTAGCAGGGCTCCTTGGGACTGGTGTGAAAGCTATAACTCGTGCATAATGGGATGGTTGGGTTCCTCATTGGGGTGTCTTATATGTATGTATCCCTGGTTGCCAGTGAGCCAGATTCAGGGTGCTAAAATGTAAGTCCTAAACAGGTTAGCTGAAAGAGCATTTCCAAATACATCAGCCTCTCAGACACCTGATGGGAGGTCTTGCCCTATCCTCTGGTTTGCAGATTACCAGTTGGTGTCATTGCCAGGATGGGCCCTCTCAATGAGGGCTCCTGTCATGTACAGTCACCTCCCCTCTTGATAAGTCAAATCCAGGCATTCTTGCATTTAGGTCTATTTTAAGACAGTTTTGTATCTTGGCCTTCTCCTTTAATTTCCCCCATTCCAGTTTTATGTCTTGTTTTTTAATGAATTGTTTTTAGTTTTTTAAAGTTGGATTTTGTTTTGCCTTATCACATATATGTGTAATTGTTGTAAACCACATTGGGTCTTTTTTTTTTTTAAAGAGGTTTATAAACTTTTAATAAATTAATAATATATTGTGGGCCCTTTTTTAGTTTAAGGTAAATAATTGTAAGGACATGAAAGGAGAAGCGCAGCCTGAGACTGATTTCTGATCAGTAAAACATGTAAAATGAGTTTTGGGATTAGCAAAAACCAGGACAAAAAACAATCTATAAAGAATACTTCAAATTTATGCCAGTGGTTTTTTTCCCCCCTAAGTTAATGGTTTTCAGTTTAAATTTGGTTTAAATTGATTCCCCTTTTAATGGAAGCTGCATAGCAATGTAGAGACCTGTGTTTGATCTTACTATGCTGTATTTTAGCTCTTGTGCAAAGACCCCCTGGAAAGGTTGGGATGTCGAGGGTCTGGTGCTCGGGAGGTGAAGGACCATCCTCTGTTTAAACATCTGAATTTCAAACGGCTGGAAGCTGGGATGCTGGACCCACCTTTCAAACCTGATGTGAGTTGAGAATACATGTATGGCGTAGCCAAGTTGTGTGCTCTTATAGTATTTGTTTGCTGATTTTAAATATAAGAAAATAAGCCTTCTGTACATTTTTTCTGCATTCCTTTTAGCCCCAAGCTATTTATTGCAAAGATGTCCTGGATATTGAGCAGTTTTCCACAGTCAAAGGGGTAGAGTTGGAACCAACAGACCATGACTTCTATCATAAATTTGCAACAGGAAGTGTCCCTATTCCCTGGCAAAATGAGGTAGGTGTTCTTCTGGGAAATGGTGCTTCTGAAAGGCGAATAAAAATTGGGTTATCTGCTTTTGCCACAAAAACTGGCTGTTCAAGGTATTGGTAGCTGATTTTGGACTACTGCTATGAGAAACAAGTGGGCAGCCTTAGCAGAACTATGGTGAATTCTGATGATGATGATGATGATGATGATGATGATGATGATGATTATTATTATTATTATTATTATTATTATTATTATTATTATTATTATTATTA